CTTCTCATGTGCATTCTCAGAGTTCCGAACAGAGGATGGCTTTACTCTTTTGACGAAGCTGTCGTCATGCAAACAGGTTGGATGTCTTCCTTTGCATGTATTACAGGTATGTATGTGACGACAGTCTCTGGCACTGTGACCGAGCTTCAGACATCCATAGCACAGCTTTGTGTCCCTGATGAACTGTCTTCGTTCTTCAAGAGGCCTTGCAGTAAATTTAGAACAAGCATAAATTTGATGTTCACTGTCTTGACAGAAAAGGCATGGTTTAGTGACTTTAGTAGTGGACCACGGATTCTCGTGCTGTGTGACCATCTTCATATGGAAGACATTGGCTTTGGTCTTATTAGCCTTGAGATTATGTTTCTCCTTATTAGCTTCTGCATGAAGAGCGTTGAAGGACGTAATTGGGTTGCAGGCTATCTCAGCCTCAGCTGACATGAAGCTGGCAAACTCATGAAAGGTTGGGAATTCTTGAGTCTCACTCAGGGTTTGGGTAGCTTGACGATTCCAGCGGGCAGCCACTGACAAGCTTTCTGTTCTCTTCACAACCATTTAAGATTCCCAGTCCTCTCACATGAGACATAGCTCATGAGGAAATCGGAGAAACTTCTGAGTCCATTGGCATCCTTAGGCTGAATCTTGGGCCAGCTTGCAAGTTTTTCTCTGAATACTCTCTGTATGATGAAAGTTTGTCCATAACGATCTTGAAGTCTTTTCCGTGCATCTTTATAGGCTTCTTCATCGGTTCTGTAAAAGACACCTTCTAAAGCTTTCTGAGCAGGACCAGTGACATACTTCTTCAGGTAATACAAATTATCTGTTGAAGAGACATGCCTTTTATCAATGAGCGATTGGAATGATGCCTTCCACCCAATAAACTGAATGGGGCTCCCACTGAAGACTGTAGGCTCTGGTATCGTAAGTCTGTTAAGTGTCATACTGTCCTGGACGGCCTGTGTAAGGTAAGACACATCAGCATTGTGAGGTGGTGATGATTTTTTTTCTTTCGAGTGTTGACTTAACTGAAGATGAGTACACTGGTTCTTGTTTCACATGATGAATCAGACATTTGGTGTTATCTGCAGACTTAATGCTTGCTTCTTGATTATAGACTTCCAACCTCGCTCTCGCTGCTTTTATGTCCTTATCTGCTTGAAGTCTTTCTAGCTCATCCTTCTGAGCATCAAGATCTCGCTTTTGCTTTTCCTCTAAAAGCTGTATCTTTTCTTTCAGTATCCTTTCCTTCTGAAGCGTTTCATATTCTGCTTGCTTTGCTGCTAGCTCAGCTGCTGCCTCTGCTCGTTTGACCAATACCAATGATCTCGCTGAAGACTGACTTATAGGTACACTAGATGTGGAGCTGGAGCCAGAATTTGAGGCTATTGATCCATAGACTAGGGTGACCATATTTTGATTACCGAAAACCAGGACACTCGGCCCGGCAATGAGATACTCAAATGATACTCGAAGTTTACTCAAAGATGCCTTATAATTTCAATACATTTAAAGTATGCTTCCTCTGTATGGATAGGAAATTGTTATATTACAAAATACTATCTATAACCAAAGACACAAATTCAGATAGGCTTCTCAGAGGTTACTCAACATGTTTTATTATGACAAGTTTCAAAAATAACGAATGAAATAATGATATAAATAATGTCTCTTCTGTATTAGAAAAATAAATAATAAATAACTAAAAAATACCTCTGCTATATTAGCAATCCAAATTTAACAAAAATAGCTCTCACAAACTTACAAAAACTAACTAACAAAAAATATCTATATCTTTAGTTTTCTTCTTCATCCTCGTTTTCCTCTTCATCCTGTTTTTCTTCCTCATCCTCCTTGTTTGCCCATCTATATTTTGCTGTAGAGCTGATCTTTCCCAGCAGTTTTTTGTTGCTTAACAAATAAGCATGAAAGTCTTTGCAAGAAGTGTCTTTGAAGTTGTATTGCACAAATAGAATCCCTTTCAATGACTCAACAGAGAGCTGGTTCCTCTCCTTTGTCCACTGGCTCTGCATCAGTGAGAAAACCCTCTCAACATTTGCATTGTGAGAGGGAAGTGCAAAGACAAACTGTGCAATCTTCAGTAGTTCTGAGTAGCATGCGATGCTTTTAGCCTTCTCAAAGTATTTGGTCCACTTCTGGTGCACCTGCAGGCCAATGAACTCCTCATCACTGTTGCACCTTTCTATGAATTTCTTCAGATTGGCGACCTGGTCAAAACACTTGACATCATCAATTGGCACCCCCTTCTCTCTTAGGTACTTGATGCAGGCCTCCACATCATTCCAATCTGGTGGCTCACTCATATCCATCCACATAAATGTTGAGAACTCTTCCATGGGAGTCATCCACTTCTCCAGATACTCCAGACATGCACTGTACAGGCCTTGCACATCAGCACAGAACTTGTCACAGTCCTCACCAAGTCCATCTCTGCGATTTTCTGCCAGTAGTCCCTTAACTTTAAGAGACATGAAATTGTTGCTCTTACGTTCAAGAAGAATGTTGTGGATGCTGTTCAATATTTTCTTCACCTCCATGATGGAGTTGTTCTCCTTTTCCATTTGTTGAATGTGGGTGTGGAACACAGACATGAATGAGTGCATGTGCCACAGGTAAATCTCACTGAAGTCGTTTTCAAAAAAATTCTTGATCACTATGGGTGGCTTTTGCTGTGACAGAAAGAATGCCTTTAAAGCTGGAAACATCTGTAGCATCCTCTCAATGCCTGGGAACAATGACAGCCACCTTGTCTTGCTGTGAGAAAGCATCCTCCTGTACTCAATGTCAACAAAATCACAGTACTCCTTCAGGTTCTCAGTGCGCACAGTGTAAATGTGGAAGTACTGGTAGATTTTAAACATGATATTCTCAAGGTCAACATCTATTGTGTCTGCCCCATGATGAACACAATTATTCAATATGTGTGCTGGGCAACCCACACCAATCAGAGTCTTGTTCTGCAGCAACCTCTTCAAATTTGCAAACACATTGTTTCCCCCTTCATCACGTCGGATTCCACCAAAATTTGTGTTGCAATTGTCTCCAGTAAATGCAATGCATTTTTCAGACAAATTGTTTTTTGCCAGTGTTTTAGTGAGATAATTTGCAATGGTTTCTGCTGTCTCATTAGGTGTGTCTTTCACCTCAATTAATTTTGTTTGCACACCGCCCTTCTTCCAATCAAAGTACTGGATTATGATCGGGAATATTTTCACTGCTCCGTGGTTACTCCCGTCTGTACAAATACCACAATACTGGATTTCTTTCAGTGCTTGATGTGTGACTTCAACAGAGTGGGGCGCTAAAACACCATTCACAATGGCTTCGGTCTTAGTGCGGCCACTACTAAACTTTTTGGCGGTGTCAGAATCTGGGAATGCCTTTTTTAGCAATGCACTATTGCAATCCATGGACCTGTAGCTGTTATGGTGTTTCACTGTATGAAATGACAATGCACCCTCCGCTGCATTCACAGCATCCTCTGATTTCCCGGGTCTCACAAAGAACTCCGTCAACTTTGTTGAACTACTCTCACCTCGCACAGCTTTTTTATGTTTTTCGGTGTCCATGGAGGAGAAACAGGGTCTGGGTCCACATGCAGGTGAAAACTTCCTTTTAATGAACAGAAAGGCCAACAAGGCAAAACAAAACAGATTTAGGAACGACAGATACGAATACATTTACAATACAGCCAGGCAGAGTGGTGAGTGAGAGGAGAAGATATAGTCTGTGACAATGGGGAACAGCTGAGGGTGAGTGTAATGAGTGAATGACTGAACAGGTGTATGGAGTTTGGGGAATTAGTGTAATGAGTGAACAGGTGTATGGGGTTTGGGGAATGGAGTCCGGGAGATGGCGCCCTCTGGAGGAGAGAGGGAGAAACGCAGGGCCCAGACTCATGACAGTTTTCCTCTTCATACTGTTTTTCTTCCTCATCCTCCTTGCTTGCATATCTATATTTTGCTGTAGAGCTGATCTTTCCCAGCAGTTTTTTGTTGCTTAACAAATAAGCATGAAAGTCTTTGCAAGAAGTGTCTTTGAAGTTGTATTGCACAAATAGAATCCCTTTCAATGACTCAACAGAGAGCTGGTTCCTCTCCTTTGTCCACTGGCTCTGCATCAGTGAGAAAACCCTTTCAACATTTGCATTGTGAGAGGGAAGTGCAAAGACAAACTGTGCAATCTTCAGTAGTTCTGAGTAGCATGCAATGCTTTTGGCCTTCTCAAAGTATTTGGTCCACTTCTGGTGCACCTGCAGGCCAATGAACTCCTCATCACTGTTGCACCTTGCTATGAATTTCTTCATATTGGCGACCTGGTCAAAACATTTGACATCATCAGTTGAGTTCTCAACATTTACACCATTCACAATGGCTTCGGTCTTAGTGCGGCCACTACTAAACTTTTTGGCGGTGTCAGAATCTGGGAATGCCTTTTTTAGCAATCCATGGACCTGTAGCTGTTGTGGTGTTTCACTGTATGAAATGACAATGCACCCTTCGCTGCATTCACAGCATCCTCTGATTTCCCGGGTCTCACAAAGAACTCCGTCAACTTTGTTGAACTACTCTCACCTCGCACAGCTTTTTTATGTTTTTCGGTGTCCATGTGAGCTTTGAGATCTGTGGCACCCCCATTGGACACCGAAACATATGTGCCAGGTTTGCACACGGTGCACGCAGCCTCCCACTTGTCCCGACCGGGAGAGTAAGTCGGGAATTTCTTCTGTAACTCATCGGTAAATGTGCATTTGCGCTTCAGCATGTTGCAGGCAGAAGTGCTCGGATGGCTGTCTGCTCGCTCGTTGTGAGTGTAAAGAGAGCCGCCCACACGGCAGCCTCTCAGGGATTACGTCACATGCAGCACCGCAGGTGCAGAGTGCCCTAGTGCCGGTCAATTTAATGGCCCAATGAAAACCAGGACATTTTCATCACTTTATAAAAAACAACCAGGACGGCCAGAACAGGACGTGAAAACAGGACATGTCCTGGGAAAACAGGACGTTTGGTCACCCTACCATAGACAGAGTGGGCATAATCTTGATCGAGCAGCTCACGAAGACGCTGTCGTACCTTTACACCGTCAAAGTCCCCATCAATGCCTGAAATCCTCTCAAAGGCAATCTTTAAAATATCCTTTGTTACAGCTTCACATGCATCGATCCGTCGCCTGGTCTCATTGCTTGGAGTCTTGTGAACTCGAACCTTGTCATATAGGTTCATCATAAGTACCTATAAGGTTCATAGCCATTATTAACTGAATACAGAAATATAACAAGCAATATTATAATGATATACTAAACCCCAAACGAATAAATAACTGAGGGTTATTTACATCACTTACACTCACCGACCACAAGGCGGAGGTCCATCCTCATTCGGACGAGACGCCTGTGTGTGTTGGTGAGGGAGGCGGCCGGGAGAGACAGGAGAAATGGAGAGACGAGAAGAAGAAGAAGAAGAAGAGGAAGAACAAGAGGTTTCGGAAGTTTGCCTCTTTCTTCTGTTGTATGTTTCGTCCTAAATCCACCAGAGCTCAGGTGGAGCAGGTGGAGCAGGGTGAGGTGGACCAGGACACTGACGAGGCCCCATCCAGGAAGTGTACTGATGGTAAAAGACGAGCTCTGAACATCAAAAAGTCTTTTAATCATTTACACACAATGTAAAAATCACAATCACACATTATAAAAATGCAGATCAATTATTTTATTCCACAACGTGATAAAAGTTTGAATATAAAAAGCAATATTTTGAAGAAATGTAATATTTCAAGATTTAGTCAAGTAGTCAAATGTTACTCTAAATGAAATATGAATATGAGTATGCAATATTTGATTGATATTATTTAATTAAAACAAGCATTTGGTTAATATACTCTTCTTCAGATCAGACTTCTCTACAGGACGTCATCTGCTCTGTAGAGGACAATGATCATCAGGAGCCTTCTGCCAGTGACCCTGAAGTCCTTCCCGCTGCCGAGGACCAGCCTCAAGATCAGGACAGTCCAGTCAGTCCGTCAGCAGACGAGAGCGCACCACATCTGCTGAGACAGCTGGACTGTGATGAGATCGTGAGGGTTGAGGGTGAGTTTACAGTCATAATCCAAAATATAACTCACACATGCTATTCTTACAATATATTATTTTAGGTGTATGTGTATAAAAGAAAGTGTATCAATGAATATACAAGTATAGTGATTATATGAGAATTACAAACAATGTTAAAATAGGTTTAGAATAAGTATGGCTTGCCTATAACTATAATTATATTTCAATAGACCACATTTGCTGGAAATACATCATCGGCAAGAAGATGGGGGAAAGAACATACAGCTCTGTATATGAAGGGGGTCGCCGTGATTTTGCCAAGTAAGACATGTTCCTGGATTCCCATCTTTTGTTGATCCTGGATCAACATTACTGTCCAAAAATGTAGACTAAACCCAATCCCTACCCCTAAACCTAACCCTATTCCATTATTTATTTGTCTGTTGCATGAAATCCTCACAAAGCCCAGCACAAAGCCCAGCACATTGGCCCTCGTTTCCAGCGCAGGGCAGCTGCAGGCGTTTCCTATAGTAAACAGCTGCCATGCATTTGTAGGTTTTGGAGGGGTCACAAACGCTTGAAGTGTTTGTGATTTATGTGGGCTCTGTTATCCTTCCTTTCAAGCTGCTAAAATAAAGTGAAAGTGAGGTTCATTTTCAGGTGCTGTGATTGTTCCAGATATCTCGTTGTCTAATCAGACGTTGGATCAACATCTTTTGTTGATCCTGGATCAACATTACTGTCCAAAAATGTAGACTAAACCCAATCCCTACCCCTAAACCTAACCCTACCCATAATTTATTCCTAAAATCAGTGTGAAATGATAGCTCATTAACAAGGATATAGAAGCACCTAACCCTGATCATAAGCCTAAAACAGATATTTCCTGAAAAGTTATCCCTCAATTCTGATTGGTTAATTGGAATGTTGATCTAGGATCAACAAGGATGTTGATCATCATAAAAACTGTCTTTCTTCTAGCCTGACCATCCCAGACCAGTGCCTCTAGAGGTGGCAGTGACAGTCTTGGTCAATCAAGGCCCCAGCTGTCGCCACATTAAGTGGCTCTGTCATACACCCGGTGCAATGCGGCGCCAGGCGCAACGCAAGTGTTTTTTGCTAGTTTTAGCCTGACGCAGTAATCATTTTCACGTCCTGCGCCACGTTGTTTAAATAGCAAATGCATTTGCTCCCATTTGTGCGCTCATGGGCGTGCTGGTCTGAAAACAAGGTGTGTTCAGGCGCATTGTTGGCGCGTTGCTATTTTGAGGCAACTAAAATAGACTGCGCAGTAGTTTTTTGTTATTTAAAGAGCGCGTTAGTATAGACGGGTCCACAGCGCGCGTACACTCTGCTTATTACACACACAGGGACGCACAGCAGCACACAAACATGCCAAATATAAAAAATTAAAGGATTACAATGTAAAAGATTATTATTGTGTAGCCTACATAAATATAAAAATGCCTACATGTCATAATGGATAGTCATTGCATGTATCAGAATTAGGCTACCTATTTGCTCGCGCACGAGCAGCTCCGTTTCCTCTCTGGAGACGCATTCTAGTCTTTGCGCTTGCAAATTCCACCATGTAAATAGCAAATCCGCCATGGCACGAGCGCAACTGGCTCTTAAAGGGAATGGGAGATGAGACTCTGATTGGTTTATTGCATGACACGTTATGCCCAAAACACACCCATTACTCATTAAGAGAATAGGGACAACCCTTTTAGACCATGTGCTGGGCACGCAGACCGTTTTTCCCGTCGTTAAACTAGCAAAAGTGGATTTGGACATGCCCTAAGTGCATCTGCACCGTGCGCTTTAGACCTTGCGCTTAGATCGTTAAAATAGGGCCCATAGTGTTACTGGACTGGCAGGACCATCTCGACCAGTATATCATGGTCCTAGAGCAGCCCTCACCCTGCATGGACATGCACGATTTTTGGCTGCATTATGACGGCCTCTTCAGTGAGGGGATGGCCCGTCATTTCATGCAGCAGGTTATCGACGCTGCTGCCGTGTGCTGTTCCCGGGGGGTCCTCCATCGTGATATCAAGATGCCGAACCTCCTGGTCAACATAGAGACCCTGGAGGTGAAGCTGATTGATTTCGGCTGTGGGGACCTCCTGAAAAGCACATTGTACAAAACCTACAGTGGTATGTATTATTTTTCAAACATGTAGTTTGGGACTTGAACTCTAGTGAATGAACTAACAACATTCTCAGAAGAAAAGTCAGTCATAATATTATTTTTATTGACTAATATTAAATGCAGTCAGAGAAAACATGCAGTGGTAAAGAACACATTTAGACATGTGACAAACTCTTTCCTCCAGGGACAGCGAGGTACTGCCCTCCTGAATATTTTGAGAGGGGCGAGTACAATGGGAAACAAGCAACCGTGTGGTCACTGGGAGTGCTCCTGTTCCGCATGATCACCAGCCTTTTCTCCGAGAGCAGCGATATCAGTCTGATGGACACTGATATCTGGTCCCAGTCAGGCTTCTCCAATGGTGAGATCTTCATTTCAACAATTTAGAATTAGACAAAACGGCTTTATAAAAGACAATAAATTATGGATAATCCAGGAATCTTTCTCATTTAACAGCTTAGAAAGTGTAAAGTTAAAGGTAATAGTCAGACATCTCTCTATTTTCTGCATAGAGAGCTGCCGTTTTATCCGAGGATGTCTGAAGAGCGACCTGGGGAAGAGGCTTCATTTAGAGGAGATGCTCTTCCATGACCGGTTTAAAGTACTGTTTCAAAGACAAGCTAAAATTATTTTAAAGATATAGTGTTTGTTTAGTTTTTGATGGTATAGTTTGATTATTTTAATATGGACATCAGCTAACTTTCAATATCTGTAGTAACTCGTATAGTCAATCCTCATACATTGCATAGACAAAAAGCTGTATTTTTATACCTTATGAAATCGGTTTGTCTAATTTGTACAAGTTGTAATTGTATAATTCGTAATTGTGTTTCAGGTCCCCCTGTAAGTCATGGAGGACAGGGTCAGCCTTGCGTCTGGTGGGCTGCCATGGGTGACCCCTCCATCCCTCCAGTCTTAGTGTCTTGCGGGGCTGGCAGGCCTTGGTAGCATCTGGCGCCTTGGCTTGAGGCAGCAGTTTTAGCATCTTGCGGAACTACTCGCCTAGGGATGTGAATTGTAAATAGTTCATTTAGTTTTAGTTAGTTAAGTACTTCACCACCCAAACATATTTCTAAAAATGGAGTCACCTAGAGCTTCCCAGAGCTCCCTGTCAAGCCTGTCCCACAAATTCCTGGCACTGCAGCCATAGAGGTTCCTGCCACTCACATGGCGACAGAGCTCAGTTTCTAATCCACTTTGGGCCCAATGATCCTGTCAGGGCTGCTTCAGAAATCACTCTGAAGGCCTCAATAAAGGTTCCTGACACTGCTGCTCCAGAACCTGCTGAGGTCAGAGAGAACCAAATCAAAGGCACCGCAGAGGTTACTTGACATGGTACCCTTTCAGAGCTGCCCTGGTCCCACAGCTTCTTGTCCAGGCTTGAAGGTTTCTGCTGCTGCAACCACAGAACCTGCAATGGTCTCATAACAGCTGAAGTTGGAAAGCTTCCCGTCATGTGTGCCATGAAGTTTCCTCCCATGATGGTGTTGAGATTAATGCCACGGCTGCCAAAAAACCTCCAGCCAAACAGCCTCAATCTTTCTTGTCATAACCTCAGCCAGAGCTAAAGCTGCTCCAGTCCCAGAGCTCCTCTCTCAACCTCCCTGGTCCCAGAGGTTCCTGCTAAAGCTGCTCTGGCCCTAGTGGTTTCTGTCTTGACTGCATCAGAAGATCCTCTTACGACCCCAGTGTTTCCTGTCACTGGTGTGATTCCTCCATAAATATAGTACACCATTGTGCCACATTAAAGCATAATGTTTGTGAAAATAAACATGTTTTGTTTTATCAGGAAAACATTATGATGATCTGGACATTAATCTGGTTTACATTTCTCACTTTACCAGTCAAGAGTGTGTTGAGTAATAACCTCAGGTATGTAAAGCCAGGTCAGTACAGAAGGTCAGATATGCTGTATATAATTGCACTCAGCCATTTCTAAGCTTTTCTAATGCCTGATGGAAATACCAATTATTTCAAGAATTATAAGGTATAATGTACAGCAGTGGTTTGCAGTTGTGGACTCAAAGTGCATTTTATATGTCTCTCTTGGTTCATGGAGCTCTCGCCAAATCAGTTGATGAACTGAATCAGGTGTGTAGACCAGGACCAAAAAGTGAAAACCACTAATGTACAGTCTTTACCTCAAAATAAAAGTCTGACATGGTCATCAGGACAATGACACAAATATATCACATCAAATGTGGCCTCTACAGGAAAAAAAACCCAAATTTGTGAAATAGAACTTGACTCAAAACCTTACATTCCATATTTCACTTTACAAATACATGACATTACACACTAATGCACTTTTTTTATGAACACAAAAGTGACATTTTATTTATCAATGAAGGATGTGTCATGTTTAATATATGAGAGCATGAGATATTTTAAATGCAGTGAGTGCACCAATGCATGTCATAAACATGATGTGTGGTCTGTACACTGACCATTAGCTAAAGGCACATTAATTCACATTCATTTAATAGTATAAATAGAGTATGCAGCCTCCAATCTCGTGCACTACGAACTGAGTAAAATCACAGTCCGTCTTTGATGCCCAGCAGGTCTCTGGTAAATTCTTGGTCATCATTATCCACTATAGTGCTACGAACTGAAGACATCTGGGGAGAATCTGTATCTGCACAGAAGAGAAGTGAAGTCTTACAGAAGGACATTTACAGTTTCATATGTTAGAATAACATAAAATGGGATGCTATTCTCTCTGTATCAGTCACAAAAACACTAAGGAAAGCATGTACTTACTGTTTTCTGTGTTTATTGTCCTCACAGAGACAAGAGTGATGCTCTCTTTCTCACAGTTGCTGGTCATGTTGCTGGATCAAAAATTGTTTTTATCTTAAGTTAACTTTCAACAGATCTGTTATTTAAATGTAGTACATAATATTATATTTTAGTAAATACATTAAACATTTTTTAAAAAATTTTTTATGTCCCATTATTACAGTAGGCTATATTGATATCATTAACTTGTACTTGCATGCTTTTTTAATTTTCATATTTCATTTTTTTCTTATTATTATTTTATTATATTATATACCTAAAACGGACAATGACGATAACTGCACATTCACAGTCATGTAAATGTACAAATTTATTAGTCCTCACCTGTCAGACACCACAGAATCACAGCTTTTAATACCTATAAATAAAAAAAGAAAACCCACAAAACAAAACAGATCAATTATATTGCACATTTATAGCCATGTGTGCTTTTAAAGGTAATCTTGAAAATGACAGAATTGGAGAGAAACCCACCCTCATGCTGTTTAGTATTTCTACACCGTCCCCTGAGGTTGATAGCGGTCACCAAGACCACCATGACAACAATTAAAATGAGTATAAGACTCATCACACCTGTAATTGCAGACAGGAAATATTTTAGCACTAGAAGTAATGTGTATCATGAGATTATATCGGTATAAAACCTACCAAAGGCGAGCAAAGTGAGACCGCTGTCTGGTGCCTGTGAAGGTGTTGCCGTCACCTCTGACATGCTGATGTTTGAATTAGCGGTTGTTGAAGTCTTTGGAAGCAGAGAAACACCCACTGCACATGGAGCAAACACGTGAAATAATAATGTAGTCTTAAATGATAAATGCTTGACTGTACTGCACAGCATGACCAGTTCTTCAACATACAGCTCAAAATGATCTTCAAATACAATTTGAGATATACAAATATACAAACTCATCTACATCTTGGATGGCCTGAGGGTGTGTACATTTCAGCTAATTTTCATTTTTGGGTGAATTATTCTTTTATTAGCAGTTAATAATTATTACCTGATGTGTTATGCGAAGAGAGGCCGGATCCATCAGTACTGCCTGAGCAAACAGAGGTACACGTTACATTTCTGTCATCCACTTCCACTGATTTTGATCCCCAAAACTCAACTATGAATCAGGACATTCTTGAATGAATTATATCTTGTCCATTTACAGTTATAATGATACTTACTGTTCATATTTTAGCAAATAAGAGTTTTGGGGGGAAAGTCAGAAGAAGGAGGTAAAACCTGTTATTTTGGCCGCTGGGGATGAGGTGGAATTTAGAGTTGTGTCAGTGTAGGATTTTAGTGTGGTTAACATGGAGCTGGTGATGATGGACTGTCCTGTAATACACAATTTTATAACTTTAATAACATTTATTGTGTTACCCTCGCATTTCAGAATTTTACTTAGTAGAGACAAGCAAGATAAACCATCAACTTACAGTCGAAGTAAAGAAGTGCAAAGTCTTCCCCCAATATATTCTCCCACTGTATATAATGCATATTTTAATTAAAGGAATAGTTAACCCAAAAATGAACATTTACTCACCCTTTTTCAGGATTGGACCTGTTTTGTCATGTGTTTCGGTTCGAAATGGTTTACTGAATACAAGTGTTACATTTATAATTACTATTCCCCACCTCCAGTTCACTCACGCGTTTGAAGATGAAACGTCACATGGAGCGCATTGCGTTCTGGGAAACAGTATCCCATGCAGCGTCTTCAGATGCATACATCAAATTTCAGCCAACGTAGTAGGTAATCCGGGCATTCCATACATACAGAAAATTCACATACTATTCACAGTATACACACAGCATACTGCAATATAGTATGGTAGTATGCCATTCCGAACAGCTTCTGTACTGATTTCAGTGTACTTGAGTTATATTCAGCAGATTCTGGCGAATAGGTAATCCGGGTATTACATGCATACAGAAAATTTGCATACTATGCACAGCATACATACTGGATACTGCAGAAATAGTAAGAGTAGTATGATAGTATGGCATTTCGAACACAGCCTATGAATGCTACTCCGTGTCTCCTACTACTTTTTTATTATTATTATTTTTATTGGAGCAGACTTGGAGAAATTTAGCATTACATAACTTTCTTGCCAATCGATCCTCTGAAGTGAATGGGTGCCGTCAGAATGAGAGTTCAAACAGCTGATAAAAACATCACAATAATTCACAAGACTCCAGTCCATCAATTAATGTATAGTGAAAAGCTGCATGTTTATAAGAAACAAATCCATCATTAAGGCGCTTTAACTTTAAACCATCGCTTCTGGCCAAAATGCCAGTCTGTAATCCATAATAATGCACCCTCCCGTGTTATCCTCTCACATAAAGTTCCACCGACATATTTGTTAAGAACTGTTATAACTTGTAAATGGTGCTAGATTGGGCATATTTCTCTCCTGATTCAGATTGACAACTTGTTCACTGGAGAAAGCAATAATATGGATAGAAGACTCACAGATAAATTTTATTATCAATTATTATTTTTTATAGCTTTTCACTTGATGTGGATTACTTGTGGTTTATTGTGAGGTTTTATCAGCTGTTTGGACTCTCATTCTGACGGCACCCATTCACTGCAGAGGATCCACTGGTGAGCAAGTGATGCAATCCTAAATTTTTTTAAAATCTGGTCTAATGAAGAAACAAAACCATCTACATCTTGGATGGCGTGAGGATGAGTACATTTCAGCAATTATTTATTTTTGGGTGAACTACTCTTTTACCAGTGGGTAGTAATAATTACTACCTGATGTGGTATGCGAAGAGAGGCTGGATCCATCAGTACTGCCTGAGCAAGCAGAGGTTACATTATTGTATGTTTACTACACAGTATATTTACATCAACTGAAGTTATATTTGTGCCTTACCTGTGTGGCTAGAATATACAGGAGCTGTGGTTGTGCTCACAGTTTTTTCAGTTTGGACTTCTAAATTAATAATAAAAAAAGACAGATACATTTACATTAAGTTGATTTCTCTTCACATATGAAATAAATATAAATAAATAAACACATATATGCTAAAGGAAGAATTACATTTATTGGTTCATGTCTAATTAATGGCAAATAAAGTTACACTGTTACAGATACATTTAAGAAAACATGTTGTTGGACATTTACCTATTAATATAATCTTAACAATGGTAAAATGACAGTTTCCAGTTGTTCAAATCATCCTTAATATGGGAAATTCTTGTTTAGATGTGAGAATTATACACAATATGATAGAAATACTCACCTGTTCTTGAAACAACAGACCATGGAGACATAGCAGTTGTGTTTGGAGGTACTGTAGTTGGTATGCTTGGGTCATTTCCTGTGCAAATTGCATAGAGAACATACATTTCATGAAAAGATATACTGTATATATTAAATGGCCACAAAAGTATTTGGGCACTAAAGGCAGACATTTGGGGGCCACCATACATAGTCAGTGACTATTGCAGTTTAAGCCAGAAAACATTTAAAACTTTGATCCCCTCTTTTTGCCCATGTACCGTTTTACACTTTTCCCATTTTCCCTGTTTTTTTGTTTGTTTGGTTTTTATACCATATACTTTATATATAAAATTGGCTTCTGATTGACTTACCTGCTGAGATTATGGATGAAGATGCAAACAGGGGAATGAGAAGAAAAAAGAGCTGCTCCATGTCTCAATCCAAATGGGTTTTACTCTCATCCACCTACACAGGACCGGTCGTATGTATCCCAGATATCAGGAAATAATTACAGTACTTATGTATGTGTAAAAAATGAAAAACAAAGCCGAACAACTATGGAAATATTCTTGAGCGAGTGAGTTTGGTTGAAGCATTAACCAGTATGTCCAAATCTGTTTCCTGTTGGATATAATAGTAACACACGAGGGAGTGCACATAGTATTACAAAGCCCTGCTGAGAAGCGTGTGTTTGGGTGTGTGTCAGTGGGCGCCGAGCTCTGGTTTGAGGGAGAAGGGGCTGCGGCCCCGAGCTTCCTGTGGAAGAATAGCAGGAAACAGGTGGGATGCCCTCATGGGAAAAAGCCCTCATTGATTGAGCCTTTGAAACTTAGAAGTTCCTAATAAAAACCTTATACAAACTGTCGTCTTTGCATTTCTTTACATTAATGTTACATTAAAAATTACATTTTCATTCTTGATTATTAATTAAGCAGCTGTTGAATAATCAGTTTACTGTTCTTTAAAGAGAAAAATAATTTTACAAGCAAATTTTCAGTCCAGCATCGAAAGGGGAAAGACATTATTAGTTCATGCATATTTTATTCAAGAGTAAAAAAAGTGATTTGTCCCATAGGGCATGCTTACAATATGTGTTTTCATTTAGGAAGTCAAATGCGAAAACTTAGTTCCAGAGAAAATTACAAGAAAAATAGTCACAAATCCATAAAATTCCTTCTTTGAAATAAACCACGTCTGGACCAAACAAGGATCAGAAAACAGTGGAAATGAAAGAACCGTAAGCTTAATTGTAAGAATAATAAGATCATCAAGAATCATAATGATAATATAGTTTTCCTCTTCAAAGTGAGACACTGAATTTTCCTGGTGTCCAATTAGTTTACATTTGAAAAAAACATGCGATCATGCTTTGGCAGCCTGAATGTTGCTTTTCACTGAGTAATATGTTCATTCACACTACTGAACAACTTCTGTACACCAACTGAACAAAGAGAACGAAACAGAAAGAAAGAACGAAAGATGACGAAAAAAAAAACACCTCGGAAAGAGCGTCAGTGCCTGTACAGCGAAACTATACAAAAATAAAATCAACCGTAATAAAATGATATCGATGAAAATAAAAAGAAATTAAATAAAAGATTACAAAATCCTATCTATTTAAAGAGATATAAAAACAAACTAGACCTTTACAAATATAATTTGAAGGGAAATAATTCAAGTCTACTATATTGAAACACATCACAATTATAATTTCACATATCAATAAGGAACTTAATTGCATGCACTGATGCGTTCAGTACCATAGATGCTGTTAAAAATCGTTGTCCTCGACCGTTGTTAATAATCATATATTTAAATATATTTATATATATTTATTTGACTTGCGAAATGTACTATGTGCATTCTCTCTCTTGAGATACAGGCAAGTGAGAAACAATCAGGAAGGTGGCGCCAAAGTTGAGCTCCATCTGCGGTTTACCTCCGTCCGAACGGTTGCATTGATCGAGAGTCTACGGCGGACAAGCATCACCGCTCTTCTCCTCTACTGCTTCATGGTATCTTACCAAAAACCAAATCAAGAAATAAAAACCCCCAGGTAAGATTGCATTATAAGTAATAAAATGTACAGGATTCGTCGTTAAATGTCCTTTCTTACAAACATTTTTCGTTTTTTGTCATTTCAAATTTGTATATTTATTAATACTAGTAGCAAAACATCGTCAACAGTGAGATCATTTCATTATGAGATGGGATCATGAAGAAAAACTCGCAATCAAAAGAGGAAAAAAGTGTGCATGGATCCGGTATAGGCTCGTCACCCGCACCGACGAACTGGATTTATCAGGCTTAAGAGAGAGTTCCTAAACCCCACCCACTTGGCATGTGGGTGGAGCCAGAAAGGAATGGAGACCGCCCTCTCTCTGATAAAGACACTTTCAGCCCTTCACAGGCAAATCACCCCCCACCCTCCTTCCCATTCGACACTCCCAAAAAAGCAGACACTTGCCGTCGGCAAGGTATCCGTTTTTGAAAATTGCAAGTGGCAAACTGACAGAAAGAAAACAGTCTGCCTCTTTCAGTGAAACATTAAAGATAGTTTGGTTCTCTAATTGGACATTGGAGCAGGGAGGGATGTGTAGGTGATGTCATAGGGTGTTTGTTGGAAGCAGGAGGTCTTAAATCATGGGTTTGGCTTTGTCCTGCCATGCGTCGTGGCGGTGGCATGGACTCAGGTGCAGGTGAGTGGGCAGCCGTTTCATCACTGGATGTTACTGTTGTCGTCGGTGCCGTTGGTCTCGGACATGTTCATCTTGCCCATGGAGTGGCCCACGTGGTTGACTCCATCCTTGCGGGGCGGCATGCGTTCGTTGATGCGGTCCAGACCTTTAGCCTCTTCGAAGCTGTTGATCTTGTGCTGTGGAGAGAAGCCGCGGATGGCTGCGGAGAGACGGGAAAAGCCCACAATGAACAACTAGACTCTTGTTTCTCATCAGCTTCCTGTAACTACATTTGTAAATAACACCACGAGGCCTTTAATTTCTCTTTACTAGAATCTAAACTTATAACGCATAATATCATATATACACTGAACAAAATTATAAACGCAACACTTTTGTTGAGCTGAACTCAAAGATCTAAGACTTTTTCTATGTACACAAAAGGCCTATTTCTCTCAAATATTGTTCACAAATCTGTCTAAATCTGTGTTAGTGAGCACTTCTCCTTAAATTTCAAAAGTTTGGGGTCAGTATGATTTTTTCATATTAACAATAAATAAATAAATAAAAAATACTACTTTTATTCTGCTAGTATTACAGTTCCCACAAAATTATTAAGCCGCACAAGTGTTTTGAACATTGATAAGAAATGTAATAAGAAATGTTTCTTGAGTACCAAATATCAGAATGATTTCTGAAGAATCATCTGACGCTGAAGACTGGAGTAATGATTGCAGAAAATAAAGCTTCGCCATCACAGGAATAAATGACATTTTAAAATACATTTATTTAGAAAACAGCTATTTTAAATTGTAATTATATTTCTCAATATTACAGTTTTTATCATATTTTTGATCAAACAAATGCATTCTTGGTGAGCGTAAGAGACTTCTTTAAAAAATCTTACAGACCCAAACTTTTGAACAGTATTATATAGCTCGATTATTAAAAAAATTATCTATGGAGGACTAATAAAATAAAATATCAATTTATTAAACAATAAAAATGTAAACTTATAAATTACTTATCAAAATGGAAAATAGACATTTAAAAATTCAGATTTAAAAAGTTAAGTGTAACAATAAAATAACGCATTAATACATGATTTGAAATTGACAAATAGACATAAGTTAAAAGTACTATTTAGTATAGTTTTTAATCCAATTACTAATATTATTATAAATAATATTATAATATAATTATACATAGTAAATTTTACTATATACAATATAGTAAATAATTTATTTACTAACATTTCAATAAAATAATACTTTAAGAACTTATTACTAAACACAACTTTTAAAGTCATTGGTCAGTTGCACTTCCTAATCCATTTGCCAACTGCTTTTTTTAATATTCATTTTTATCCAATTGGAAAATGCTAATGAATCTCAAACTGAATTTTACACATCACACCAGCCTTAAGGGTTCATCTGAAATGAAAAGCTTTAAGCCATTTCAGAGAAAATATCAAGATAAGTCAAAAGACTGGAAATATGGAGATCACCCCACCCTACCTGCTATTTTAACTATTTTGTTGATTTTTTATATAGAGGAAGTAGAAACCCCTTGAGTCCATCCATGTGTGTATCACTGAGGTGAGCTGGTCTCAGAAAGCGAGAGGTTGTAGAAGAGGAACACACTCTGGTTGGCTGAGAGTTCCTGATTGGGGTTAATCACATGCTATGCCCACACTAGAATCATGAGGGCCAGAGGAAAAGCAGCGCCCGACAGAACATATCCAAAAATCATGCCTCCAGTTTAGATGCTACCTCAAACCATCATGCAAGTAGTAAAAGGCATGTTCCTTTAATGTCACCACTCCAAAAGGGCACAGCAAATATCTGATTAAATTACAGTTGCTGAAAAAACCTCACTGACTTTTCTGTACAAATAGCATCTTGTGATTCTTTAGTTACATAATGGCTGTGTCTACAACCTAAAAAACACTGCACTAGCAGGCAATACAAGGAGGTAGGAAGGGATCAAGGCAAATCTGAATATGAGGATACTAAAATGCCTTCATCTGGTTGCTTTCTGAAGCCAGCATACAATAGATGTATCCTTCAATGCCTTTCTGCTGTAAATTTGTATATATTGTTGAAATTAGAAACATAAAATTATTCATGTAAATATACACTACCATCCACATGTTTGGAGTCTGTAAGATGTTTTAATGTTTTAGAAAGAATTATGCTCATTCTAATATGATGATTTGGTGCTTAGGAAACATTTCTTATGATTATCAGTGTTGAAAACAGTTGTGCTGCTTAACATTTTTGTGGAAACCGTGAAATTTGTTTTTCCAGGATTTTTTAATAGATAGAAAGTATTTTTTAATAGAAATATTTTGTATCATTATAAATGTTTTTACTGCCAATTTAATGAATCGTTGCTGAATAAAAGTATTAATTAAAAAAATAATAATTACTGACCCCAAACTTTTGAACAGTAGTGTGAAATGTATGCTTGGTTATCTCTAAAGCTCACTTGAATTTGGTTATTTGATCATTTGATGTGATGTTTTGGTACCTAAAATTCACTTGTGCTGTCTGTTTAGTCGTTGACTGACCGGATAATAAGGCAGGTGCCTTGTGTTTCGGACACAGCCACAGTGTTAACCAGTAAGCAATCCAGGCTATGACAGATTTCTTGAAAACTATTTGACACCAAACTGTTCCCAGACATGTGCAGTGCCCCTTCGTAGTGATCGGTGGCTTTCTGGTCTTGTTGCTCTTCTCTAATGTAGTGTGTTAGTTAGTTAGAGCAGTCAACTTCAGAACGACCCTGGCGGAAAATCCAGCATACGACGATAGATGTGTTTTAAAATGGGTTCCCAACTGTTAGGTCCCATGTTGAGCAAGAAACAAACCAGATACCAAACCATCTACCATTCCAAAACTCATCTACCATCGTAAATTGGATTATGCCCAGATACATGTCCTGGAATTACCTTCTCCGTCTTCTTCCGTCTCGATGGCTTCAATGGCTTCGACGGTTGCTGGAGGGAGAGGAGGGGAGTGTGTTATACCTGAACAAGCCATGCAACAGCAGTAACGCACAGGCAGCAGTTGTGCACAAGCAGCGGCAGGCGCCGGGACGCATGCACGCCAACCAGACTATGGACCACAGACTCAGACAATCCCCTCAACCATTCGCACTTTGCAAGAGACTTCTCCTGCTTTCCATGCTTCCTGTGCTCTAGACACCCTACGAGCCTCTCAGAAACTCATTCTCACCCCAGTTTACCATTGACGGGTAAACCAACCCATTAATGTGTCCATGCTTTGGGGGAACTAAAAGAGCAGCACCCCAAAGCTTGGAGTTGTCAGAGGATACAGAAAGAGACAGATGGAGAGACAGGTGGAAGGGACAGGGACAGACATAACAGAGACAGAAGAAGAGGAAATAAAAAGAAGCAGGAAAGAGAGGAGGAGGAGGAGACAGAGGGAGACAAGAACCAAGGAACATGGCCAGAACTGGATCATGCGCTCACCACTCTGTATAGTCTGCTTGCCTCCAGAAAGCACCCCACTTGGGAGCATCCCGGTAGGGGTCAGACCCTTCAGGGTCAACACATTCTCACTCTCCTCTCTGCAAAGACAGCATAGGACCATCAGAAATAATAAAATACACATTACTGATATTTCACTACCATTCAAAAGTTTGCAGTCGGTAAATTTTTTGGATGTTTTTGAAAGAAGTCTCGTATGCTTACCAAGGCTGCATTTATTTGATCAAAAATACAGTAAAATTGTAATATTGTGAAATATTATTACAATTTAAAATAACTGTTTTCTATTTAAACATTTTTTAATGTAATTTACTGCTGCAATGCAAAGCTGAATTTTCAGCACCATTACTATAGTCTTTAGTGTTACATGATCCTTCAGAAATCAATCTAATATGTTGATTTGGTGCCCCAAAAGTATTTCCTTTTATTATAATTGTTGGAAACAGTTGTGGAAACCATTTTTTCATGATTCTTTGATGAACAGAAAGTTCAAAAGAACAGCATTTATTTGAAATAAAATAATTTATAAATTATGAATGAATTAAAGGGGTCATATGATGCGATTTCAATTTTTCCTTTCTCTTTGGAGTGTTACAAGCTCTTGGTGCATAAAGAATATCTGTAAAGTTGCAAAGACTAAAGTCTCAAATCCAAAGAGATATTCTTTATAAAAGTTAAGAGTCAGCCACACCTACCTAAAATGGCTCGTTCTAACACGCGAAACTACTTTGTTTGGTCTTCCAAAAGAGGACAATATCCGCTTCGTCATGC